ACATATTTTTTAATTTTTGAGACACTAGAGTTTGACTTGAGATCTCAGAGTGTGATTTGCACAAGTGCTGAGCACTAACACATGCAATTGTAATGTCATGGCAGCTTGATTTGAACATTTAAAGTGTCATATAATGAAGGAAAAAAATACCTTAGGCATCTCAAATTGGGTACCCAAAGTTAGTGGAGTTTTTGGACCTTAATCTCTTTGTCATAGCTCCCCATGTGCAATATTGGTGTAATACCCCTTCATCAGAAGTGGTATGAAAATAATTCATTAACGTTTGTGAAGTCCTATAGTGATTAGTGTCATAGAAAAGCCCATGATGAAATTATTAATTCTACCTCGAGAACACAGTGTGAATAGTGTGCAGTAAATAAAACTTGGGGCCACACACAGAATCAGAAAGAGCACACACAGTATTAAACAGTTTCTTATTAAATGAGCATTATCTTTTCTGTGCACTGAAGTCCTGTGGGAAAAAGAGTATGAGACCATGTAATTAGGCTACTGTAATGCATACAGACAAGGAGGGTGAATTAAGATGCACATGCAACCTGAATTCTGGCTTTTTCTTAAAGCATCTTGAGTGTTTGACTTTGCACTTTCATGTTCCCTTAACATATATGAATACACAAAGAGCTATGAGTGACACAGATAAGGTAGCTATATTTTAAGACCAAACTTGATCTGTTTCTGGAAAACAAGCTTTGCCTTAGTTCTGCAAGGTTGTGGATCTTTCCTTCTTTCGAGTGCTGAGAGCAATATGGAGCAAGATCCATTCAAGCAGCCAAATGGCAAGTGTCAAGGCTGCTTGCTCCACTCCATCAAAAACCTAAAATCATGGCCTTCCGGTGCAGAGGAGAATGAGACACCAGAGACTACCTAGTCAGAAGTTCTCTTGAAGGAGCTACAACCATAGCAGCTTCTTGCAGTGTTGGGGAAAACAAGTGCCAGTGGGTTTGGGGGATGATCTATGCAAGTATGGGAAGAGTCCCTGGTGAGAAAAGTGTGCAAACCATAACATTACCAACTGCTTCAGATTCAGCACTACCGGGGTCATAAATATCCATATATTAAATGCGCGGCTATCTTCTCCCCAATGACATGATTGCCCATTTATTTTGCTGTCTAAATTCTTTAATTCTCATTTACATGTTTAAAATATATATCATCAGCAAGTTTGAGTACACAGTATTATTGAACTTTCTTTACCATTTGTTCCTGAACACTTCTCTTTGCCTGGGAAAATGCCTGTTGTAATTCACCAAGTAAGGTCTCAGACTCTTGAGATCTAAAAATAAGTGAAGATATCTTCCAAAAAAACAAACAAACAAACAAAAACAAAGACATAGTTAAGTATCTGAAACAGATGAAACAGGTGTTGAATGTGTACTGAACACCCATCATATATTACAACTTCATGTTAATTCAGACCAGGTTTTGTTTTATTGACTCATGGATCACATGCTCACCATTTGAAAGAGATACTCTGATTTATACACTAACAATGAAATAGTAATTAATTCTTATCAGACCCAAATGTAGACACTTCAGAGCCAATCAAGGCAGAAAAAGTATAGATCTATTTTTCCAAGTTAGAGAAGTAATGTTTTCTTTAAAAAAAAACAAAACATTTTTAGTGGAAATATAGTACTTTTAAAAATATAAAACAAGATATTCAGAATTCTGACTATCAAATCTCATTCCCATTATTAAGATATCAAAATCTAAAACAAAGAAAGGGTGAAGTGAACTGAAAGTCAATTATCTAAATTTAATTTCATTCTCAGAAGACTTTGCCTAGTAGTTATTTTATTAGTTGAATAAAACACTAGAAAAATCTGATTAGTTCCAGGGAAATAGCACCCAAAATTATGCACACTTTGTTTCCCCATGATTTCTGTGATCCTGAATTTACAGCACAGAAGAAAGTTTAAAAAGCCTAAAAATACCAGGCTTAGTATTATTGCTATTTATTATTTGTGTTGTGGTTGCAACTAGGAGTCCATCAAACACCAGTTATGCTAGGGGCTCTATAAATAGAGCAAAAATAAATATATGGGAGTGTCAGTCTGGAAACATCCCAATTCAGGTTCTCATGTTAAGAATCAGCTGAGGCTAGTACATACTCTGACCAATTATAGTCATTTCCTGCTTAAACAAAATAAAAGCGTGTCTCAATTGCATTAGCTACATGTCAAGTGCTGACAAAGTTAAACACGACGGGCTAGATGGACACAATGACTTAGGCTCCAGCCCCACTGGGATTCACAAAACTCTTGCTCATCTGCTCCTGAACCATGTAGGTGCCAAAGATCACTCGGCATTTACATGTCTGCAGTAAAACTTCCTAAGTGCCTATATTTCTGCCTGTGAGCTGTCTGAGTGCTTAAAACCCAGTGCAATGTACAAATTAGAGGACAACTCACCTGCAGGGCCTAATACAGTAAGCAAGCTTAGAGTGGGGGAGGGAGGAATTGCCTTCACATCTTTTATCCCAATGGTTAGGGAACTCATGTAAGTACTCCCCTGTGCAAAAATGGGGTAGGCACCTAATACCAAAAGAATGTTTGCAGCTGAGAATCTCAAACAGGAGGCACCTCCCTCCATGTCAAACTTAGGTGCTTATGTCTGAGAAGAGTGGGGCTTAGAAGGCTTGGTATCTCATTAACTAGTTGACGTGAGGAACCATCTGGCATGCAGGCTTTTGGGAATCCCATTCTGAGGCCAGGACAACACTTGATCTGGAAGGTCAGGTTAAGGTACACAACTTCAGCTATGTAAAACACGTAGCTGGAGCCAGCTTACCTTAAGCCAAGCTTGGAGCTGTCTTCATAGGAGGAAGGCAATGGGAGAAAATGCTCCTGTCGGCTTCCCTTACTCCTTGCAACTGCAAGGAATACTGGCGCCGACTGGAGCCGCCCGCAGCATTTGATTTAGTGGGTTTTAACTAGACCCACTAAATCTAATGCCAGAGGATTGATCTCCGGCATGACAAGTAGATGGACACCTCAGGCCATGTCTCTTTCCCCGTTCATTATGTAGGGTCCTCAGTAGGGTCCCACTGATTTTCCAGGCTCCTATAAGTTGGTATAGTGACACTGAGTGTTGCCACACCCCCAAATTTCTGTGTGAAGCCAGCTGGAAGAGTATATCCACAGAACAGATTTAGAAAAGATGCACAGAACCTACATTCCCTTTTTTTTTTTTTAATATTATACAAAGATTTCCTACATTGGTCAAGGATCATGTCTAAAATACATTTTGCAAATGACTGACGCTAGGTCAGCTGCTCCCTTGGGAAGTGCTCCAGAGTCTAGAAAGTACTATTTATTAAAGGTACAAAGGGAATTTTAGGAACCTGCAAAAACAGATCTAAATATATATGCACAGCTTACGTCAAAAGAAGCAGCCACATCCCTAATGGAATGGCTCTCAAGCCCTCTCTTGAAGAGAATATTTGTTAAGCTTGCAACAGATGCATCTTATTGATGTATTAGAAAGTCTTTTGCTGAAAGAACAAAGAAATCAGATCTTGGACCATAACATACAGATCAACAAACCAAGTCCATTTTTCAAGTTGATTTAAAGTGACAGCTTATTTTTCAGCATCCTGTTTGTGGAACTTAACCGGAAGGATGAATTAACATGATTTTAGAAGGTCTAACAAAATGCTTTAAGAACAAGGGGGTGACGAAAATAAGTCATCAGTAATTAAGTGGACCTAAAGAAGCAACATTAAATGTGAAGTGGGCAACACATGAGATACAGATATATGTCAAATGCTTATATAAAATTATCCTGACAACTTATCAGTACTCTGGAGTAGGGATGCAAGTGATTGGTCGACTACCTGATAAGCCTAGGCTTATCAGGTCGAGTCAACTAGTCGCTTTCACCCACTTTGCTGCCTCTGTATCAGAGGCAGCAAGGGGGGGAAGAGGGGAAAAAGCAGGAGCAAGTGGTGGGGGGAACCAGCTTAAAAGCCAGTTCTCCCCAGCACCATTTCTGTGGAGCAGGGGGGTAGCAGCCCGGGATTCCCCACTGCGCCACCTCTGCCTTTGAAATATAGCAAGAGTCCCGTGGGGCTCTTGTTACATTTCAAAAGGCAGAGGCGGCGCAGCAGGATGCTCGCCCCGGGTTCCCCACTGCATCTCTGCCTCTTTAAATGTAGTAAGAGCTGCCCACGGCTCTTACTGCATTTAAAAGGCAGAGCTGTCGCCTGGCTAGTGAGTGTCCTGCCCCACCCCTTATCGACTAATTGAGTAGTTGATGGAAATTCCATTGACTACTCGATTAGCTCAATAGAAATTTAACATCCCTACCCTGGAGTACAAGCAATCTTGGAAGTTTTCCTTTCAGTAGCTCCTAGAATGGGGACTATGCACACATCCTAACAATTAAGATGACTATTTGGAAATAAAGAATTGGAATAGAAACACATTCCTTTTAAAGAATCTACTTCTTTGCTACAGTGAAGATTCTTGTACCTGAGTGGCGGAGTCTTCAGTGCTTTGCTTCATGTAATCTTCCAGCTCCTGTTTATCTTTCATTGTTTTTTCTAGCTGGTCATTAGCTTGCCTCAGCATTACCTGCAGCTTTTTCACCTATATTGTTAGACCAAAAGAATGGAATCAACATTTCTTTGAAGGACAAATCTGTTTCACAAAGTGTTGAAAATATTCCGAATTTAGAACTGAGAGTCACAAGAATTCCTGTGCTGGTTTCTCAGAAGTGGCATGCTTTATTGATTAGCTCCATACTGAAATATAGAAACCTACAGTGGAGCTCTACTGCTCAGAATAAGAAAAAGATAGTCTTCAGAATCATGAAAGGGTGAGTCTTTCAGACCCAGACTGAAGTTGGTAGAGTTCAAGACTTAAAAACTCTTCATCCTTGCACAGGCCTGGGGCAGGGGGGTCACCCATTATAGATACTTTAGAATTATTTTGTGCCATTGGCACAAAAATTACATGTCATCTACATTTACCTTTGCTGCAGCAATTCTCACGGCATCAATAAATACAAATAGTGAAAAGTATTTTAATCATTATTCAATTCAGTCCAAAAAATCATTATTACAGGAGAATAATTCATTCAGGATGATAGCATAAAGCATTTTACTTTTTGATAGAACATAGAGTCTTTGATTGCATCATAGCATATTACTTGACAAATATCTAAGAAGTATGCATATGTGAGCATGCTTGATTTCATACACAAATTGGATTATAGCACTAAATTGGCATGTGATTCCCAGGTTTAAAAGTATAGCCAGTCCCCGAGTTGCGAACGGTCGATTTATGACCGTTCGCAGTTACGACCAAAAATGTCGTAAATGGTGGACCCCGAGTTACGAACGCAATCCGCGCTTATAAACAGCATGATCGCGTGTAACTCAATGGGGTCCGACTTACGAACAAACTGATTTATGACCAATTGCTTGGTCCGTGACCGGTTCATAAGTCGGAGACAGGCTGTAAATTAACTTAAATCCCTGAAAATAACATTAGTAAGATTAATAGATAGCGAGTAACTACATTCTTGGCTGTTTCTACAGTTGCAGTATTTCTGTACATCCCGAGAAAAACTTCACCTGATCTCTTGTCTCAGCCTCCTGAATCTGGATTCCCTGTAATTGCTTCTCATAATTCGAACACATGTCACAGCGTCTACCCAGCTTGTTTCCTGCATTCTGCACCTAAAGGACACAAAGTTCTTCTTTGCCATAAATATTTTAAAAGGAATTCTTAAGTGATATATAGACTCACAAATGCTGTGCAATCACAGAATATTGCACCAGATATGAGCTCTGGGTGTGAACCATTTCTGGAAGAGACAAGGACAGAAGTCATGTAGCAACAGGATTACATTACTCTATGCCTAAAGAGCAATACAAATCCTAGACATTATATATGTTAGGATCTTCCGCCACAAACCTCACTGCTAGAATAATAGTGATAAGTTGTGATGGGCAAGATCTTGTAAAGTCAGCCAACGTGTTCCTTGAATGACTTTTGAAATATAGCACCTAATTAGCAGTATTGTAGTAGTAAACATATAACATTTCAGGCCATGTCTACGCTGCCAATTTATTGCGCCGCAACTTTCTGCCTCAGGGGTGCGCACGCGCGCACGCACACCTCTGAGTGCAACAAGTTACAAAGCTGTGAAGTGCCAGAGCAAATGGGTTCACAGCGCTGGAAGCTATGCTCCTTGTTAGGTAGTTTACACAGAGAACTGGTAGTTTACACAGCCTCCTCCTACCCTGCCAGGAGTGTGTGGCACTTTTAAGTGCTGTGCAGGGCGGAGACAGAGCAGAGGAAACTTCATATGCTCCCCCGCCCCACGGCCTTGATTGGCCTGGGGGTGGTGGAGCATGGGAAGTCTCCTCCCAGACAGGGTCATGGGCACCTAAAGAGAAGGGGAAGACGAAAACTTATGCTCCAATAAATCCGTTAGTCTATAAGGTGCCACAGGACTCCTCGTTGCTTTTGCAGATTCAGACTAACATGGTTACTCCTCTGATACATCTGTCCTGTTTCTCTTTCTTCCTGTCCCCTTTTCAGCATCTCTTCACTTCCTGCAATCCTTCCTCCTATGTCCGCTTCTGTCTTGCCCTTTATTCTCCCCTTTCTGCATTTTTATCCATCCTTTCTTCCACTTTGATCTCTCCCATTTCCTCCTTTTTAATGTTTCTTTAGTCCCACTTCCCCCACCTTCCTTTTTGTTTTAGCCTCTGTGGAGATGTTGGACATCTGAGCTCCTGAGCATGCCTAAGCTCCTCAACTGGAGAATAAGTCTGGGGTTTTTAATTTGGCACCATATATAGTTAGGAAAGGAACTGACAGACAGAACTCCCCAAAAGTGACACTTGTCTTGGTCAGCTCACAGTGAAATTAACTAGAACAGCAATGTGTCAATTTCAATATGCTGCATGGGGTGCAGGGAAGTCTGTTCCTTACAGTGGGAAGTCCCTGAAAAATGTCTGCAACTGATTATATTGTGGCCTAACTGGCTACAAACATTTTGGTCACTAATCTGTAAACCAGTGGATCCCAAACTTTTCGGCATCATGCCCCCTTTTTGATTTCTGAAAAACCCTCACGCCCACCCCAAATAGCAGCAAAATTTGTTGAGCAAAAGAAAAAAAAAAGGAACTGACTGGGGCAGCAAAACTTGAGGTGGGAGGGGGGAGGAGCGGGGTTGCTTTGCGTCCCCTCTGGAATTTCGGCATGCCCCCCAGTTTGTGAACCCATGCTCTTCTTTGTGTCCTGCGTAACTCTCGGTAGATAGGTGGATCAGTGTTAGGCCCATCACTGTTTTTTGTTAGACATCCTCAACCTTTCCTGCACCACATCTGATTCCTCCCTCTCCCACATCTTTAATACTTTTTCCTCTCATCTTTTCTCTGTATCTTTTCCCTTTCCTTTGCAGGGTCAAAAGCAGCTTCCAAGCATCATTCTGTTCCTAAATCTGACAGCCCTTCCAAACGTAATACGTTTCCGTGTTTCATGAAAAAGAAAGCTGGGTTTGACTTATTCTGCTCAGGGGAGTCTCTTTCTATATCAAGCATGCTTGAGGCACGGAACTATCTTCAAAGGAAAACTAACCAACATCACATGAAGCTAGTCAATTTCCTTCTCCAGTTCCTCCCACAATGTGAAAACATTACTAGCTTTTGGACTATGCATTACCCATCAAGAGCAATTCAAAAGAACTGAACACAAAAGCTATAATGGGGAGGGAAAACAAAAGACAAGCTACTTACTTCTTTCTGAAGCAGATTCCATTCTGACTCACTAACTAAGCGGTAACCACTAGGAGACACGTAAGCACTTTCTACACTCTGTGTAACACTGGAGAGAAGGGAAGCTGTCTCTTCTTGCTCTGGTGTCATTGCTTTGATTGCTTTTTCCTGATCTTTGGTTAACATGAATCCACTTGGCATTTGCAGAGACCCAAGGGAAGCAGTATCAAAGTTCTCAGACACTGAATCTGCTCCAACTAGTGGTCCAAAATCAGATTCATCCAGATTTCCAGCAGATTTTGCTTTGTTGTTATAGCCTAAAGTTTTGGACTGTAAAGATCCTGATGTTCCCAGGCTGTCTGTAGACTGTGCTCTTCGAAGTCCATCTTTAAACATATCATTCTCTGATTTATTGAAAGATTCACCAGAAGGTAATAGCAAGTCTGTGTCCAATGAATGGACTGATCCATGGGCACTATTTAAACGTACCTGAAATTGAAAAAGAAGGAGGTAAGCCCAATTCCTGTCTATGAACTAGAATCACAGCAAAACAAACTGAATACTGGGTGTCAAACATCAGACTTGAATTGTAACTACTAATTTAAACTAGCTTTGGTGAAAACATTTGTGACATCTGAAATTCAGAGTGAAGAGCAAAGATTTGGAATCAAAATGATATATGTGGCTACAGAGTATCCCCAACATCGTGCTGCTAACAGAGCTCTTCTTCCCTTGGAGCTAAATCTCTGTGCCAGCTCACTTAGCAATGAAAAACAAGCTACATAATGTAGTGCCATATTGGTTATTTAAAAATTCTATGCATTAGTGAAAGCAAAATTCCACTGCCAGTTAGCACAAACACCTCATTTTCTGGAGCAAAACTTGGCTTGAAACCACCATCACTAGCGTTTACAACAATTATTGCAGAATTGATTATAAACTAACATCAACTGTATAATGACAGGTATTTTTTCCTTTGCTTGTTAAAAAGTGGCCTTATACAAAGTATCTCTTTGTTCTCCTTGTTCACTATTTTTGTGAGATTTTAATTAAAATCTTTTTTAATTATTGTAACATATAAATATGCATGCACACAGTAAACTGGAAAATTGAATAAGAGTGGAATTAAATGTATGTGCACTGAGAATTCTAATACTCCTACAAGCCACGTTAGCTCTATTAGTCTGCATATGTATTCTCATAACCACAAAACCTAGAAGAAATACAATGCTGTTTTCAAAAATGTTTTCCAACGTTTTGATGATTTCAACTTTTAATATAGCAATGTAAAGCAAATAGCACAGAAAACCAGTGTCTCACTAGTTTTCTTATCTTCAATTTAAATTCTTTTAGTGTTCTTGGTGTCTGTTCCAGAAACAGTTCTTTCTAGGATTGCCAGATGGTCCTTCTAAATGGAGGAACTTGTTCCTTCTAACAGACTGTAAAAGTCTGACTTTTGATAGCATTTCGGGGTTCAGTATAAAAGCATACCTTTCTAATCAGGTTTTTATTTAGCAACCCTTAAGACAAAAGTACATGTGTGCAGATACAGAGCAGTAATTTTTCAAAATCAATCATGGAATCAAACTGAAGAGAATTTGCAACAGGTAAGCTTTAGCTCTAATGCAAACTTGAAATGAAATTATTGATGGAAACTAAATAACTTCTTAAATAAAACTGACATGATATAGGCACTACAACCATGGAGTAATATGTACCACAGCATGAATTACATTGTAGATACTCAAGTCCATATGTCAGAGATGAAATATTCTGCTCATGCTATCAATATAAAGCTAGGCAAGAATGGACAGGATGTAAATTAAAGTAATGTTGTTATAAATAAAGGAAAATATTTCCTCACACCATATTTAAGTACAAAAGTTAATCAATCATATTCTTAAAGTTGTAATGCAACAAGGGTATGCATTTTTAAAACAATAAAGAATCTCTAAAAAAAACAACAGAAATTGAGGCTCAAATTTTGATCAACTTGTGCTCCATCTGGTTTTTCCAAGTCATTTTCTTCAATTCTTCAATTGCTGTACAAACTCAAGAGAAAAATCTGTTTGACAATAACCTTCATGCTCATATGCATATTCTACTGATCATTCTTTAAGAATATTATTCTCTTTTTAAAATGTATTTAAAAATTCCATTTTGAATAATCATCCAAGAGAGTAAAAGCTAAAACACTTTAATATGACTAATAAAGTTACAGTTAACCCTCAGAATAGAGAAAGCCTTCAATACAATTTACATTTCATACATTTAAAAAAAATCTATAATGCTGGCTTTTTTGTATGTATTGATTCACTATTAAAAAATTGTCTAAAACTTCCTGAAAAATAGCAGCTGACTTTTTAACAAGTTGCATTTTCCTACAAAATGTAACACTGGCTTAAAATGGATGGAGGATGACATGCCTAAAAAGCATGCCTAAAGAGATTATCCTATAACCAAGGCAGAATTCTTTGTAGGTTACATGTCATTTTAAAAAGATACAGAGAAGGTAATTAGGTGATGCTACAGTTTGGCACACAAGCAAATGACCCATGACTTGAAAAGCCTATTATACAAGATATACTTCAGCTTAAGCTATCAGACTGTGTAAAGACATAACTGATTTTTAGGGAATCATTACCTGCTGTATAGCTCATCACATAAAAGATCATAAATAACAAAGATAAGAAAAGACAACAATGCTGAAATATATCCAAGCAAGCCATGCTTTCTTCTCAAAATATAAAATATTTAAGATATTCCCGTCAGCACAATTGCTAATGCTAACTGAATGCAACAGTTTAAGAATAAGAAAAAAAACCCAGTAGTAAATAATGTGCCCCACGGAATGAAACTAAAAGAAGGAGTGTTCTTACACCAAATATTTTTTCCATTCGTGCACACATTTCTTATTTGGGCACACAAATGCTGGTGACCTTCAGTACAAGACCGTGAAAGCTAGCACTCTTATTGCAAAATGCAGGATAAAGCTCTAAGTCTCAATGATTAGATTATAGCGGATTTCTCAACCCATTTCCAAGGCATCATTACATCATTTTAAAAAACTGAAAAAAAATCACAGACTTTTCCCCCCTCACTAAACAGTCCCTTTTAAAAATCATGCCTTCTAGGATCCAATAATGAGAGAAATGCATTCAAACTAATACACAAGGGGAAAAAGTATATTAAAGAGCCTGCATTCAGAAAGACCAAGAGAATGAAATACAAATTTAAAAGATCAACCACATTTTTATCTTTAACTCATGACATCAAACCTAGGCCTTGCAGTAATTCCAGAATAGTACATGATCTCAGACAATGGGTGCACTGCAGTGCTAATTCATAACAACTTGGTTTAAGGCAAAATTAATTTGATAATTCTGTAATTTTATATATGTTTATTTTTAATTATTTTTAAAACAAGTTTATGAAAAAGAGCTACTGATTTGCTGGAGCAGAGACATATTTCTATGATGAAAAAAATATCAAATACTACTGATCACACTGAGAATTTTAAAAAGATAATTTTGTGACTTCATTATGACAGTCATGGGCATTCTGTATGGTAGAAAGGTATGGAATATCTGTATTTTAAACTAGTTTGGAATGTGTATTTTACATTTTGTGCATGCTTACACACTCTCAAAACAGGTGTATGGCCATGCAAAGCCCTAAATCCATTTTTCAGAGTTTATATATAAGCTTTTATAGCAAGGAATAATATTTTATACATAAATTTGTCCCTACTGAGCTATGCATCCAAGAAATTAATTGTCAGGGAACCACTAGAGAGACTAAAGAAACACAAAGAAAAAAATGCACTTCAACTAGCCAAGTGTCATATTTTTTCTCATCTTCCAACTGTGTATTCAATTGTACTTGTTTTTCACAAATGAAAAGTTGAGGCAATTTGAAATATTATAATTTCAGTTTACATAAGATACACAGTAATAATATAGCTTACATAACATACACGATAAAGGCTAATTGTTGTCATTGGTCTCTCTCTTTGGTTATTCTAACCAAGCTCAAGAAGACACAATAAAACTTTAATGCAGAGTCCTAGCTTCTGGATTGGACCGAGCAGCTTCTCTATGGCTGCTTCAATACATGGCAACAGATCCTCAACTGTGCAAAACTGTGGTAGCTCAAATGCACTGCCACCCATGTCTTATACCCTCCCTCTATGTCTATGGAGTGAATGGTTGCTGAAACAATTTAAGTTGCCAGCAGCAATCCCAATGGACGGCTTCTCCCAAAAAACCCCTATCAGCAGTAACTTATGCTGGTTTCCCTCTGGGTTTTGGGATGGGAAGTTTTTAGTACAGGCAAGCCTGATTCCCAGCTTTCCCTGTTCCCCATACATTCATAACTTGCGGAACTCCTCAGCAGAGCCCTGGAGCCATGACACTTTACACCAGCTGACATTCTGTGCTAGTGATTAGTTTGTAGCCAAAGACTACTTTGAGATAAAACCAGCATGAAATTCATCAGGTACCAGTTAGTACGGCAGGGATAGCAAATCTTGTGGAGAGTCATGATTTTGATGATTTTTAATGCAAGAGACCTTAGAGGAGTGATTCTCAACTTGTTTCAGTCCACGGACCACCAGGCCAATCAAATAATTTTCATGGACCACCTCCTTTTTGAGAATGCACTTGTTGAGTCGAGGGGCTGCTGTTTCAGACCTGATAACCACCGCTCAGAATAATCTTCATCCTTTTGCAACAATTTGGGGTGACACTTTTCGAGATGGAGTTTCAGCTTAGCCGGCTTCATTGAGTCATTCCCCAAGACTCTGAAACAAACAACACGTTGTGGCAAATCCACCCCTTCTTTTTCTTGACAAGTGAAGCCGAATTTGATGTAGTCCTCCGAATACTTGTGCTTGACATTTCTTCCTGTTGTTGCCATTATAAACAAACTACACCACACCTGTAAAACAGCACATGTAGTACAGGACGAACGACACAGCAACCACTCAGCACAATGGTGGCAGCTACACTGACGCTCAGAGCCTCAGATGGAAGTTACTGGCAACACAACGCGGTTGCGTCCTAAGTGACACTATGGATCACGCGCCGCATGCTTGTGAACATGGTGTAGAACAGCCTAACAGCAGTGCCTGCTCACACCGTGTGACTTTGGACAATGTTCCCGTGGACCACTGAGAAAGTCACTATGGACCTTCAGTGGTCCATGGACAACCACTTGAGAACCACAGCTTTACAGAGTGGTCATAAGAACAAGTTCTAATGCACGTGCATACTTTCTAATTTCAATATTGTAATACACTGAAAATACAAATTAGAATTCTAAACAGCTTACCCATTGAAGAGCTGTAGTCTAGTATTTATTCAAACAAATGCTATTTAAAAATAGCCAGCATAGGATAAACCTATGACAATACATACTTGTCAAGAGAGCTTACTGAACACCAGGGGAAATGCATACTGTACAAAGTTGTTTTGAACTATTCATTTGTTTTACCTCTTCATTAGGGAACTGTGTAAGCGATTCTTCATGGGTTAGAGAGCATACCACTTTTGCTTCATCCTCTGTATCTTTTTGTTTCTGTTCCTTCCTTTTGCTAAGTCGCTGCTGTTCATCTTCTTCCTAAGCCAGTTACAAACAAAAAAAGCATTTAAAGAGGATTCATTTCTGGCTTATTCCACAGGAATTTGGCCATCACAGGAACTCCCTTAATAAATCAAACTACAGAGAAGATAACTGGAAGGGATACTGATGGGAGAAAAACAAGTATCCCTACACAAGATTACAAATATCAAGGGGAAAAAGTCTTTTTAAAAGTATGATCTTGAAGATCACACAATCCTCAGCAGAAAAAAAATTAAATTTTCTTTCTAGTAGCACTTACAACAAAGTCCTTTTCATTTATTCATGGGCCACTCACTATACAGAAAAAATACAAGGCAGTCTAAGCTTGCCATTCTAACTTCTTTGACACTGACACTGAAGGTGACAATTAGGGATGTTAGATGCCATGTAATTGAATAACTGTGTAACCGTATGAAATTTTAGCAAAAAAACCCTTTAAAAACAACTAATAGTCCTGCAGCAAATTTTAGCTGTTACATGACTATTTGATAGTCCCCAGGGGCAGGACTGGCAGCCAGTACATGCTCCTGGCCCCTCTGCCGGGGAGCCTCCTGCCATCCCACACTACTGCCTCTGCATCAGAGGCAACAGATCGGGGTGGCAGGCAAGTGCCAATCTGCGAGAGGAGCCAGTTTAAAAACCAATTCCCTGCACAGACCAGCTTCTACTTACTGCCCCATGCTGTTACCTCTGATACAGAGGCAGCAGCGAGGGGCAGCAGCAACCCCTGTCTGCAGGGGGCCCAAGCTCCCCGTGGACAGAGGCTATACCAGCATCCACAGAGCAATCTCTGTCCATGGTGAGCCTGGGCCCAGTGCGGACAGAGGCTGCTCAGTGGCAGCTTCCCCATCCCCTCCGCACCCTGCGCTGCAATGGGGGCAGGCGAAGCCGGTGCTTGGGTGGAGCCAGCTCCTCCCGAAGACCGGCTCCTACCTGTCCTTTCCCCCACACCGACTGCCTTTGTGGGAGGTAGGTGGGGTGGGTGGAGACAGGTGGCTCCATGGAGTAGGCATGCGCGGAGAGCCAGCTTCAAAGCCGACTCTCCACACGTATCAGTATCAGATCCTGCCTGCTCCCCCTCACCCTCTGTGCTTCTGCCTCTCTTTCACAGACAGCAGAGCTGGAGGAAGTGGGGGGCTGGGAAGCAAGTGGCTCCATGGGAACTGGTACTTATGGGGAGTTTGCTTAAAAGCTGGTTCCTCACGGGCACCAGCTCCCAACTCCTCCTTCCTTGCTGCCTCTGTATAAGAGGGAGCAAAGGGCAGAGGGGAGTGCATGTAGTTGACAGTATTAACCAATAAACCCAGGTTTATCAGTTAATAGTGTAGTCAACTACATGCTGACATCCCTAGTGACAAACACTAGCCACTCTCAAATTTCCATGCAACAAACCTGGCAGCATTGACATACTGCTATAATTGTATGTTGGTATGCCAGTATTTATTGATCAGGTTTTTTTTAAACTGAACCTTTTAATAATTTCTTAGGAGATCTAATACATTTTATAAAATAATGATGCATTCTCCTGCTCACCGATTGTATATTTAATAACTATTATACCATATTTCCTCAACAATATCACACTATAAATCAAGTGAAGACAAGACACCTGATCCTTCTTTTTTAGTTCTTCGACTTGTCGGAGCTGTTCAGAGGTCAGAACGATTTCCATACGTTGCATGTCCCTCATCAGCAAACGCTGAGATTCTAAGAACTGATCATTGGCCTTCTGCCAGGTATGTTTCAACTGGTTATGCTGTTGACGCTCTTGATCTAACAGATGACAAACTATTCAGGAAGCAAAAAGAATTATTCTTAACTGGATTTTAATAGTTAACTATTGTATTTTGGCTCCAATCTCATAAATTAAAGTAGGACTCTATTTAGAAAAAAAATTCATTTGTTTCATAACTGAAACATAGGGGCTACGTCTACACTGGCCCCTTTTCCGGAAGGGGCATGTAAATTTCAGCAGTCGTCGTAGGGAAATCCGCGGGGGATTTAAATATCCCCCGCGGCATTTAAATAAAAATGTCCGCCGCTTTTTTCCGGCTTTTAAAAAAAGCCGGAAAAGAGCGTCTAGACTGGCCCCGATCCTCCGGAAAAGGTGCCCTTTTCCGGAGGCTCTTATTCCTACTTTGAAGTAGGAATTTCCCTACGACGACTAGTGAAATTGAAAAGGGCGCTTTTTCCGGAGGATCGGGGCCAGTCTAGACGCTCTTTTCCGGCTTTTTTAAAAGCCGGAAAAAAGCGGCGGACATTTTTATTTAAATGCCGCGGGGGATATTTAAATCCCCCGCGGATTTCCCTACGACGACTGCTGAAATTTACATGCCCCTTCCGGAAAAGGGGCCAGTGTAGACGTAGCCAGGGGGTTTTCTAAATCCGAAGAATAGGTAAGGTTAGAGCCATGAGTTACTGATAAGAATATTCCTTATTGGGAAACATGATCTCAATGCCCAGAAGATGAAGAATGATAAATTTGTATTGTAAATAAAATTACTAATGCAATCTGTTGTCTGATTGAATGATAGGGTTGGAAGAGACCTCAGGAGGTCTGCTCTCCAGCAATCTGGCTCTGAAGACAGTGCTGAAGAAATGGTGCAAATGCCACAACACCCTAAAATAACCTTGTGATCTCCCAGCAACTACCTTTTGGGTCAAGATGACTAATTTGAGAAATGCTGGTCCCCCCTCTGAAATCTGTATAGTATAAGATAAAAGCATTCACGGTCTGCAACGTGTTTTTCACAGCCATTAATTTGGTAGGACCTTACTCATGAGTTAATTTATTTCAAAGGGAAATTTGTGTGTCAGTCCTTTTTAGTAGAATTACATGCATTTGCAGTTGCCTGTGAATGCATATGTGCATGTAGGCATGCATCCTCCTTTTCTATTACTCATAAAACTCTGACATAAGAATGAATGCTGGTTAGGTTTCGGATCACAACATTTTGTGTTTCAACAATGCTTGGCATACTGTGTTATTAGAAACAAATATTACTGTTCCTAACAATTCTATCCATGGATACCAGAAAAAAAAAATCAGGACAACAATGAGAGCTAAGTCTGTGAAACCGTCAGACTATCATGCAAGTTCAATACCTTCGGTGAAAATAAATGCAAATATATGTAACATTACTAGAATCATTTGTTGGGTGGAAACTTCAAGTGCTTTTCAGTTAAAATATTTGGTCAGTAAGTTAAGATAAGAAACGAAGAGAAAAAGCTGTGTGTGCATTGTCTTCCAAATCTTTAGCATAGGCAAAAATCAGACCAATTGTTATGCAGTTACCTTCATGCAGCTCTTTCCGTAATTTCTCTGCATCTTCTTGCAAGACTGATTTCTGAGTATTCAGAACAGCCACATACATCTCTAAATCTGTCCTACATGACTTCTCAGCTTCTAGATAATGATTCAATTCTTTAACCTGAGAAAGGTAAGTGAAAGAAAGGACCCACCAAAAGTTAGGGTTACAATTATACAGTTTTTGTTTTATATTACTGTACTAACTGCTGTGATTATACATAACTCATGAGCTTAAGTTTATAGGAATAACAAATAACTGAACATCTATTGCGCAAGGACAATACATATTTAGATCATTATGTAAAGTATTTCCTTATTTAATTTCTACAAGTCAGAGTACATAAGTATATAGTTAAGAGAACTGGCAGGGAGCACTGGACCATGATAGCAAACACAAGTGTTACATGCTCACTATAGTGAATCATGTATTGGGACCATGCACTTTTGACATCTCCAGATAGTTAGTTTATCTTTAAATACCAAAAGCAAGCATATAATTAACAGTTTATATCCTTGCCAACAACACTGTTTTGGCAGCCAGGAGGAGGAACATATTAAACTGATCTGGAGCATCATATGCTACATTTACATTCATAATGCTAGAGGCATACTGGCAGCTTGCCAAGAGCTAGAAGACTACATGTGCATGTAAGTATATAAAAATGCTGTAATTAGAAATATACGTGGCCATATTATAAAGTTTGTACTTTACTACATATATAGACAATAGAATTGGACTATAATGGCAAAATCCTGCAGTTACACAGAAAGGGCAGATGGGGGCCACCTTTCAGGACCTTGCAGTTTGCATTTGGTCCCAAGGTCACACACTGCGCTTCGCTGCAATAGTAGCGGCAGTGTGACTATCTGGCAATAATTCTTTCAGAACAGTTGAAATTCAAAAAGGGATAAATTATCTGAACATATTTTGAAATACAAATAATAATGGCCAAAAGGTTCCCCACTGTGGCATATAACAAGGGTGTCCTGGTCAGGAAACTTGAGTTTAATTCCTTTGTTCTCCACAGACTTCCTGCATGATCTCGGGAAGAGTCATTTAGTCAGATCCTCCATACCCATCCCACAATCTATAAAATAGGGAAAAACTTGTACTTCCCTAACTCTCAGGATGTACTGAATTAATACGGATGGAGTATATGGGCAAAAGGTATTAACACAACTTAGTCACTGTTTAACAGTAAATAGTGTTAAGCAAGGTTCAGCATCTGGTATACAGCATGTTTAGTACCATAACACATACGCCATTAAAATGGTAAATTATTACAACTGGAGTTTAAATTTATTAGGATTTGTGATGTACGCAGATACCAATACAAAGGGTGGGACTAAATGTAAAAAGTACTCAAGAATGGCAGATAATGAGCCCTCTTTATCACCTCTGTGCCTCTGCCCTTTAAGTGTATTAAGACCACCCGCAGCTCATACTACATTTAAAAGGTAGATGTGCAGGAGTCGGGACCCAGCATGAGCAGGGACTTCTTCAGCCCCCACTCGCATCATTTCTCCAGTTGTGCCTCTGCCTCCACTGCGGAGATGGTGCTAAGGGGGAAACCGGATTTTAAGCCAGCTTCCCCCAGCACCAGCTCCTGCTCCCCCACTTGCTGCCTCTGATACAAAGTCAGCGGGTGGGAGGGGGAGGGGTCGAGGGAGGAAGCAACTAATCAAGTAATGACTCAACTACCGGATAAGCCTAGGCTTATCAGGTAGTCAACTAGTCACAGAGGGTATGTCTACACTACCCTCCTAGTTCGAACTAGGAGGGTAGTGTAGACATACCCTCTGTGACTAGTTGACTACCTGATAAGCCTAGGCTTATCCGGTAGTTGAGTCATTACTTGATTAGTTGCTTCCTCCCTCGACCCCTCCCCCTCCCACCCGCTGACTTTGTATCAGAGGCAGCAAGTGGGGGAGCAGGAGCTGGTGCTGGGGGAAGCTGGCTTAAAATCCGGTTTCCCCCTTAGCACCATCTCCGCAGTGGAGGCAGAGGCACAACTGGAGAAATGATGCGAGTGGGGGCTGAAGAAGTCCCTGCTCATGCTGGGTCCCGACTCCTGCACATCTACCTTTTAAATGTAGTATGAGCTGCGGGTGGTCTTAATACACTTAAAGGGCAGAGGCACAGAGGTGATAAAGAGGGCTCATTATCTGCCATTCTTGAGTACTTTTTACATTTAGTCCCACCCTTTGTATTGGTATCTGCGTACATCACAAATCCTAATAAATTTAAACTCCAGTTGTAATAATTTACTAGAAATAACAATGTGACATGATACGGAGTTCACGGCAGATGACCAGGAAAAAAAATGGTTCTGTATCTTCTTGTAACTACTTTTCTTCGAGATGTGTTGTTCATGTTCATTCTAACTTGGGTGTTCGTGAGCACACGTACACATTAGCCAGAAGATTTTTCCCCTACCAGCAAGCTGAGGAGTTGATCTGGACACCTCCATGGCATGCAACATCACGCCCTACCAACTTCCCCTTGGTTCCTTCTTTCCAGTTGCTTTGTCAGAGGAGTAGAAGGGAAGGTATTCGAATGGATGTGAACAACACATCTCAAAGAACAACACTTACAAGAAAGTACATATCCTTTTTTCTTCTTCGAGTGATTGTTTGTGTGCATTCCAAATTAGATGATTCTGAAGCCAAGATTCAGAAGGCAGGGTCGGAGCTCGGTAGGGACTATAACACTGCTCTTCCAAAGGCTGCATTATCCCTTGATTGCTAGGTGATGGCATAGTGTGCTGCAAAAATGTGAATAGAGGACCATGTTGCAGCTCTGCAGATTTCTTGAGTGGGGATATGAGCTATAGAAACAGGAGGCATGTTCCTTGGTACAATGTGCTGAAAGTCATGGCAGAGTTATGCCCACTAGGTTGTAACGCTCTTTGATGCAGGTTGCTATCCATGATGAAATGCACCTACTGACCCTTCATTCTCTCAGGCTATGTCTACACTACAAGGTTTATCCAGGAAAAACTCTGCCACGTCCAGGGAACGGGTCTGCTCTTCCGCTTTTTTTTTTTTTTTAAAGATGTGCTCTTTAGGAAGCCCTGTCTTCCTCTTCCCACAAGGAAGATGGGCTCTTCCAAAAAGAGAAGGGTTTTCTGAAATTTGGCCCAGTGTAGATGGGCCAAATTTCAGAAAAGCCTCTTTCAAAAACAAAAAAAACAAACAAACAAAAAAACCACTATTGGAAAAAGGTATGCAAATTGCGGGGCGCAACTTGCATACCTTTTTCCGATAGATCATTGTAGTGAAGACACAGCCTCAGCCACTGCTATGAACAATTGAGAGGACTGCCTAAAAGGTGTAGTTTTGTCGATATAAAAAGCTAGCACTCTGTGCACATCCAGGGTGTGTAGACTCTGTTCCTAGGGATTAGAGTGAGGTTTAGGGTAAAACACCTGGAGAAAAATATCCTGATTCATGTGGTATGGGGAGACCACCTTCAGTAGGAATGACAGATGGGGTCGAAGATGTACTCGGTCTTTATAAAAAACAGCATGAGGAGGCTCCGAGTTAAGTGCTCAGATTCCTTTCTGGCAGAAGTCACTGCTACAAGGAATGCTACTGTGAGTGAAATAAAAAGTGGCAAGAGGAAAAAGTGAGGAAATGGCAAGAGATTCAAATCAGGGACCCATAAGTTTAGACAGGACTAAGTTGAGGTCCTGGGGGGGAACCTGTTTACAGACTTGAGGGTAACGTCTGTCTAGACCTTTTAAGAAACAGGTTAACAGTAGGTTTGTGAACACTGAAGAACCTTGAGATCCTGGATGAAACACCGAAATAGCAGCTAAATGCACTCTGATAGAAGAAATTGAGAGCTCCGGTGGTTTAAGACGGCAGGAGTATGAGTGGTGGTAGGCCCGGTAATGGCATCAACATTGAGGCCAGTATACGCAATGAATGGGTTGAGGGCTCCTTTCTGTACTCCGTCACCGAAGTGGATGGTGCCCATGGCGAGAGAAAGATGGCCAATGCCGCTCATGATGCTCTGAAGTGACAGCTTTGGTTTCAATCCTGGCTTTCATGGAAAACCCAAGGTGTGCAAAGGGCCAGTAGGTAGGCGGTTACCACTAAGCTGCCCACCGTGCCGCATAAAGGTGCTGTTCCCAGGTGGAAATTGACCGTCTGCTGGTGCATCAGCAGGATCTGAGGTGTCTGTACAAGATGACCAAGGAGGAGCTGAATTTCCTGACACTGAGCCATGGCACGAGGATTTACTTTTTGGATCCTGTTGCAGCCTCAGATCAGTTTCATGGTGAGGATGAGAGCCAAGCCATCAGCATCGATTTGCCTCTCAACGGCACCCTCAGCGGAGCTTGTGCTGGAGAGAAGGGAGAGCTGTTCTGCACTAGGTCCTGGGCTGCTTGAAAGGCCTCAGGCGTGGAAGGCACAATGATTTCCCTGGGAGGCACTCGATATCTCTCTGGAGGCAGGGCATTC